ACACGTACTAAAAAGGCAATCGCACAGGAAAAGCGTGCTGTTCAGCTGAACAATGAATCATCTGAACTTATAAAACTCCTTCGGAATAAACTAAAATGCTCCAAAGTAAAAGGAGGGAGCATATTTATTAAGGACTATTAAGTGTATGAAGACCCTAAAAGCATCACAGAGTTGATTAGCGAACATTTTTGTGCCACATTAACAAACGAAAACTCAACAAATGAGTCACACCTGACCCAAACTCCTTCCTGTGAAATCGCCAGTGTTGAATTTAGTGTACAGAACATTTCTAAGGCGATTAGTACACTGAAGCACTCTTACATTGAAGGACCAGATGGCATCCCTGCCAGCATGCTGAAAAATGGTAGCAATGATCTGTTTGTTATTCTTCTCAAACTATTTACTATATCACTCTCCACAGTGTTACCCTAATAACTGGAAGACTACACATATCATCCCCACAATTAAATCTGGGCCTACAGCGAACGTTGAAAATTACCGACCCATAAACAAAACTTCGGTAGTATCTAGGGTTATGGAGAAAGTAGTTAAGGCAGAGTTACTGCAACATATGCTTAGTAACAATCTGAAATCGACCTCACAGCATTGGTTCTTTAAGTCCAGGTCGTGTGATACATGTCTGTTAGATTATTTCAACGATATCACGCATAAACAAGACAAAGGGCTTCTATTATCAGTCCTTTTCCTCGATTTTAAAAAGGCTTTTGATAAAGTCCCACACAAAAGGCTTCTACTTAAACTGAAGTCATTCGGAATCATCAACCCACTACACTCATGATTGGCTTCATTCCTAAATGGGCGACAACAAATGATAAAGTACAACGACTGTCTTTCATCACCAAGAACAATAACCAGTAGGGTTATCCGGGGAAGTGTCTTAGGTCCACTCTTGTTTCTAATGTACATAAATGATATATGTAATACTATAAAATTTGGAAGAGCATACTTATATGCTGATGATATGAAAATAGTATACAGCTATAAGCCTGAAGATCCGGATGAAAATATATACAGTATTCATAGTGATCTCGATAACTTAACTACCTGTAGCGAAACATGGCCGCTGCCGTTTAACCACAACAAATGTGGCATCATGCATTTTCGTAGGCATCACCATGATATACCACTGTACTTACAAGACTGTAGGGTTCAGACACTCATATCAGCGCGTGACCTGGGTACTAGTTACTCCAGAAGCCTAAAATTCGAAGAACATGCCTCAGATATTATCTCTAAATCCAGACGGCTAATTGGGTTTATAAACAAGAACTTCTTCACAAGTGGGGTTGAGCTTACACTTTTCAAAATGTGTATAAGGCCCCCACTTGAATATTGCTCACTTGTCTTTTCAAACGTGAATATCATGGACAAAATGCGAGTCGAAAATGTACAAAGAAGCTTCACCCGCCGACTGCTCAGAGTGAGCCATAACCTCGACTACACAGAAAGATGCAAGCATCTTTCCATAGAACCTCTATGGCGCCGTCGCCTGAAAAACAACCTAATGCTCGTCTATAAACTAATAAATGGTCTTTCGTTCGTAAAATACCGCCCAAATATGAACCACGACACTGCTTACAGACTTAGAAACAACGCATATACACTATTAACGGAAAAAACACAAAAAATCATTGCGTTGTAATTTCTTTATAATACGATATAGTTTATTGTGGTACAGGTTACCAATTACTATTCGTATCTGTGACACAATTACTAAGTTCAAGAAACTAGTAGTGCTGTTGCTAGACTCTTAAGAGATTTATCGACTATTTCCGAAACTCACACCAAGTCCCTAGGCACTCTTATATGGTCCACCAAATATTTTGATAAACCTCAGAAACGAATTATAGACTATGAACATATTGTGTCCTCATTACCACCCATACATGTATCACGAAATGATAGACAAATCCCCCTACTCCTACTGACAGTAATAGGTTACGCCTTCAAGGTGCTACCAGTGACTTTCCTCTGAATTTCGATTCCAATCATTATTTTCATATCTTCAAGACAGTTTCAGTTTTTATTTCTAATGAACAGACAGATTGAAAATACTGTAGATGTTGATCAACTACTGTCAATTACAAGGAACTCAAACTCCGTATATCATTATGAGTTCCTTCTTGTTCAAGTTTTAACAGTTTAACAAATTTTTATTTCCTCATTTCGATAACATCCAAACACCTTGCCCGCTTACCAATACATCGCTTTTTGTCATTATTTTTAACATTATTTCAATTTTTTTTCTTTCTCCTCTTTCCAGCTCCCTGTTCTTCCTATCTCCGAACTACCTGTTAACTGATACATATCTTACAACGTATACCTTTAATTTACTTAAACTCAATGTGGCATGCTACGTGGATATTTAGTCCAACATACAGACGCCGAAAATGACTGGATTCCTTGTAACGTTGAGCTAGTGGAGAAACTGAATTCTGAAAAGATGTACAAAAAATAGAGAATAGACTAGAAAACATTATTTACAATCAACCGTTAAGAGAGCCTAACATCACTAAAGGAGGGAGGGTGGTGTATCTGACCAGCATTCATGATGGTGGGGCGATAAACTCAATCTACCCATGTCTGTGTGGCAGAACATTTTGTTTGCTTAAGGCTCCTTACGATATAGCAGGATGTAATTATTCAGTGATATTGATGTTACTTTTTTTGTTAACCTCGTCTACGACTCATGTCTGTAACCTTGCACTGCTTTTTACTTCCTACCGAGAAATCCTATTACAAGCTGGTCTGGACAACTATACTAAAAGTAGAGCTCATTCATAACTTCTTGAGCCTCACAGTTAAAAATAAAAAGAATTAGTAAAATAAAAATACAAATTATATCACTGATCCTCTTTATTATATTTTGTAAATCAACATTATTACTAACAACTTTGTTCTTCTGAATTTCCTCGATTCTTTCGACTAACTTCTCATTAGTTATCTCACTACTGAAGTGTCTTCATTAACCTACATAAGCGCAGGTGTAAAGTGTTCTGATATTAAAAATGTTTGGGTAAACATACCTTTTTTTATCCATAAACGTATGTGCGAAGCCGTTGTTCGGCTTTGAACATGAATATTTTCTGTTCCGTTCCTCGTCCCGTTTTCTTCATTCCCCTTTTTTCAGAACCTTATTCCAATCCTCATATATTAGTCTGGATATTTGCAGTAGAGTTGGTTAACCTACCCAAGAACATGTGAAATCATTAGCTGATGAATATCAACCAGACCTTTGTACATTTACCGCATCAATTCTTGTTATATGAAAACCTGTCTCTACCATGAATCGTTTCTCAGTCCATAAGATGATTGTCGTAACGCAACCTTCGTAACTTGCGCCAATTATTCAGTAACTGTATACCGTTTTAAAAGAAATATGTTGTTAATCTTGCCTGTAAATTGGCATGTCTCTTTTAACATGTTTGATATTTGAGCATAAGTTATTATTATTATTATTATCATTATTATTACAAGTTCACTTCATGAGGATAAACTGAGATGCCTCAACCTTATTCTGTTAAGTCACCATAGATAACGAGCTTAGTAAAATTTTGGCTGACTGTATACCGAAAGATTATTTTGATATTTATAATTCTAATGGATCCTTTTTATCTAGGACTGGTCATCTAAATGAAGATCCTAACTAAACTCATAAACCAAGATCAAATGAACGAAATCTAGAGTTTGTTACTGTAATCAAGTAATGAACTACCGCAATTTGCTACTAGAGCACTATTTTATGTCGACAAATTCAAAAAGAGATTGGATCCTCACGGAACTACAAATATCGTGGATTAATATGGATCGCTAATCCTTCTAACCTTATTGCTGAAGACTGTAACTAGGAGGCGCAGTTGTCTATGTATTTGTCAATCTCGAAAAAAACCCGAACCCCATGGTTCAATAGAGAAATTCGTCATCATAATAACAGACCACCGATACAACCAAAAGCCTCCCGGTACAGTGGACACTGTGACAGCAGTAGCTACAGTTCTTGGGACTAAATCATAACACAAGGCTTACAAAGTGCAATAAATATCAGATGGACTATCTAAAGATTAGATAAAAATGTGTTCATCGCGCCTAACATAGTATGATGGAAATCGAAGCCATAAAATGGACGCACTCTGCACGCTTTTATGTGAAAAATCACTATAATCTCTTTAGAAAATGAACTGACCGGATCTTTATTGGTTCATGAGATAAACTGATTTTGCAGCCGCAACTGCAAACTGATTTGACTCATACACTAGAGAAGTAACTTGATAATGAGTTCAAACTACAGGCACCTGATTAGAAAGCTACTGGAATATCTTAGAAATAACACGAATAGCTGCTCCCATAATTCCAGAGTTTCCAAGTCTACCATACATAAAGTGGTAGTAGTTAGACCTCATTACTCGATCCTACTAAAGATTGAGAAGCAGTCGGATTCTTATGAATCGATTACTACGAGACAACTTTGGACTTGATGGATCATGTATTTTCTTCTGTTAGATCAGGAAAACACAGACAATAGATCAGGTTAATACAGAAGCTAAATACTAAAATAATACCTGTAGAATGCAAGCTTTTATGCTGAGTCATGGACTCGTGGCACCTGTTATTCGAAGAGGTTGTCGGCATTTTGCTTCAACTTGTTCAACAGAGGACCCGAAACTTTCAGAAGCCTTATATAGATAAACTAACACAGGCCATGGGACTTATGCATCTCAGTCCATTATATGTTTATGTAATGAGATTTAAATAACGAAAAATTAGGTCAGTAATAACTCTGGAAATGATCTATAGGTTTTCCTATCACTTACAGAAGGAAACTTGAGAAATACTCAAGTAAACCTTCAAAATTTTGTTAAAAAAGCAATAATACGAAAGCCAGAGCAAAATAGACAATGATCGCTTTTTATGTTTCCATTAAACTGGACTTAAAGCAGTACGTTCAAGATTTCGATCTAGTGTTTATACGCATCGAAAAGTCTAGCTTAATATAAGCGCGGGGGTTTAGTCCCTTCAAAATCAGCAGTCAGCTGATATGATGCAGGTACCGTTTGATAGTACATCTCTGGACTTACATGGGAATTTTCAAATTCGAGATACTTGTCAACTTAATCCTCAGGTTGGGAGCTATCAAACTATGCATCCTTCCTTTTCCTCCTCGATGTATCCATCTATCGAACAAACGATAAATTCGGTAAACACCGATGCTTTCAGGAAAGAATATAACTATGATGCGGAACTTCAAAGACAAATTCTTCCTTCTCTTACACTAAATAATTTTGGCTTGCATCATTCATCTTCCAGCCCTGTAAGTTCTGTTCCTCCTATTGCATACTCACCTGGAATATGTTCGAATCCATACGTACATCAAACGTTTTCTAGTGCTGCTTCACCATCTGCCTCAACTAACATACAAGATCAATCAAGTGGTTCAAACATTAAAAGACGTACTCGTGGAAGAAGCTCTAGAATTAGTGTCACTGACAGTTCATCGGTAATCGATGACAAACCGGTATCACTGAGTACGAAAGACTCACAAATAGGCTCTTCAGACTGCAATTCTGACTGTAGTACTGTAACTAGATCCTCCGAAAAAATGAAAATGTCGGATAAGGACGAACGTTATATTCAACGTAGACTGAAAAACAATTTGGCAGCTAAACGTTCCAGAGACAATCGCAAACGCCGTGAAGATACTATAGCATTACGTGCTAGTTATCTTGAAAAATCCAATTTGGTACTACAAACTCAGATATTAGCTCTGAAAAGAGAAGTTTGTTTATTACGTGGTATACCTTTTGATCCTAACTACAAAGTTCGTGTTTTTAATGATAATTATGTATCTTCTTGTCAAACTACCCCACAGTCTACTATTTCTACTGATTTTTCAAATGACTGTCCTGTGCCAACTTTCTCTCCTATTCCATGTTCAAATCAGACTTTAAACTCGAATATTCCTTATTCTTCAATCACTGAATTCTCTGGAAATTGTAGGTGAATGTATATTAACTGTTTCTGTATTGTATATTACACAGAGCTTTCTATTTATTCATTTTTGATAGCAATTTTTCTTTTAAAAAGATAACTTAACTTTTTCATATTGCACCGACTGTATGTTTCAGTCGTAATTCTATGTATCTGTATGAATATTTTGCATTTTTTGATACAAACTATCTAGTCTTCCTAATTTTCTTAGTTACTAATCGATCGTTATTTGCTCAATTCATTACAATTTGTATTATGTGAATAATGTCTTACTTGTTTACTAGTAATGTAAATGGGTTCATATGAAATTCTATTAAAAGTCATATTCATGTATCCTTAGTAAGTTATGGTTCTTAGCAAAGTAATTATACAAAGCTGATCGTAATATATTCATAGTCGTGTTAAATTCAGTAATTAGTGAGGCGCATAAGGATTCGACTGCCGTTTGTACTAGTGTTTGTGCTGTAAATAAAACAGTCAAGAAAATTCTTGTTTATTGCATTGTATATACAACTTTTTAGTTTCGTTTGTGAGATTATTTTCTAATACACTGTATTTCAACGTGAATGTAATGCTACATACAGTTATGGCATCGCTACTTGGACGGGATGTCTTTTCTAACCTTCTATTCAACAGATTGTAGTATAATCCTTTTATTAACTTAACCAGTAGTCATGAAATTCATTACAATGCTATTATATTTACTTCTTTGGGATTTAAATTAACAATTCGATCTCACTGTGCCGATGGAACCTTGGACTGACATATGTACGTACAAAGTTCAACGTTGTAGCTGACAGACTGAAAATTACGTCTAAAGCACCGGTATTTAGATTATATAATCTATTCATTACTGTTATCTTATTACATAATTATCAATGCGTTCACCTTCAAGACTAAATGAATAAGCTTTTCATACAACCAGTGATCTCAAGATATGACAACTGTGAATTGATTGCCCTATTTGTCGTCAGTGCGTCCTGTCGAAGTAAGTGTTGGAGGTTAGTATATATTTTATAACAAAGCATTATTGGTTGTTATCCCATATTGAGCTAACTGTCAGAGCTCTTTTAATTCGAAAATTCCAATGTGCTTGCTAGATTAGCCTATTATACTCAAGTTTCCTATGGGTTCGTTTATTTATTATAAATTAATGCATGCACCAGTCGACTCGTTTTAAGCCTTATTAAGTTGAAAAGCTGATGATTATATCCTATCCTTTAAACCTAATTAACAGGACCGACAGTGGAGAATGTGACTGAGTGATCGAAAAGCTAGCCGTTGAGCCCCCTACACCAGAGGGGATGTTTTATAACCCGAATGTTTCTAATTTTAGCACCATTGGGCAACTACTCAAAAATATATTGCGTTGGTGATTTAGGAGTGCACACACTAAGACATAGCTATTTATCAATGATGTATTGTCATGTTTCCCACCCATCGCAACCAATTTAAGTCTCCACAATAGTACAGTTGGGAATCAGAAAGAGACTAATCGTCTACCGCTTATATCAGGCTTTGTTATTTCTTATAGCTAATTCTAAATAATAACCATACCGAATTATTAGTATTCAAATCCACATTGAAGTGTTTATTGATTAGAAATAAAACCTTATAACACCATGAATCTGAAAGTCCAGTCAAGTCATATGTATTTTGGATTAATACAGTCTGTAATTGGAAATCATTAAACTTCTATTCATGATTAATTCTCTTTACAATAGTAATAATTGTTAAATATATGTGTCAGGT